ATCATAGTTAATTCGTCCAGTATCATAGACCTGCTTGCTCACTATATATAGTTGAACGCTCGCGAAAACAACATATAACTAATACGGATTTGTCAATCTCTTCGGAGGAGAGATCGAATCTGACTGTTGATGTTGGGATGTGCAGGTCAATTTCTTGAGATTTTTCCAGAAAAAGCACTATTTAAAAAAAAATTCCAAAAATAGCACCCAACTCCGAAAAATTCCAAAAATAGCACCATTTTTGTAAAACCGCAACCCGGAGGTGCGTTTTTCGAAGAAAACGCCACCCGAGGGCGCGTTTTTCGATGAAAACCGCACTGATAGGGAGCGGTTTTGCAAACCGCACCCCCAGGGTGCGATCTGCCTTTTTTTTTTTTTTTTTTGAAAAATCCTAATTTAGGTGGAAACTTCAAACGAACGTATCTTTATGTTCGGGTATCCGATCGTCGCGATTTTTTTTTTGATTCCGCATAACTTTTTGAGATCTTGCAAGCCGAAGACTGCCAAAGGTGGTTTGGTCTCGCCTTCGTACCAAAAAATGTCGTTTGCTACCCCGAACGAGCTTTTTTCCGATTTCGTCAAACTTTGGACAACCGTAACTTTGTGCTCCAAATCCAAACGGCATGATTTTTTTTATTTCGCATAACTTTTTAAGGACTATAATTTTTACTAGGAATGTATTTTCAAAACAGGAATTATTTTTGGATATACAGGATTTTGGGAATAGCTTATCTTCCCTTCTCAGCAATCCACATACATTTTGAAATTATGTCTATGATAAAAGTTGTATTCCTTAAAAATTTATGTGAAATAAAAAAAAAATTCATGCCGTTTGGATTTTGGAGCACAAAGTTATGGTTGTCCAAAGTTTGACGAAATCAGAAAAAAGTTCGTTCAGGGTAGCAAACGACATTTTTTGGGACGAAGGCGAGACCAAACCACCTTTGGCAGTCTTCGGCTTGCAAGATCTCAAAAAGTTATGCGGAATCAAAAAAAAAATCGCGACGATCGGATACCCGAACATAAAGATACGTTCGTTTGAAGTTTCCACCTAAATTAGGATTTTTCAAAAAAAAAAAAAAAAAAGCCAGATCGCACCCTGGGGGTGCGGTTTGCAAAAAAAAAAAAAAAAGCCAGATCGCACCCTGGGGGTGCGGTTTGCAAAACCGCTCCCTACCAGTGCGGTTTTCATCGAAAAACGCACCTCCGAGTTGCGGTTTTACAAAAATGGTGCTATTTTTAGAATTTTTCGGAGTTGGGTGCTATTTTTGGAATTTTTTTTTTAAACAGTGCTATTTCTGGAAAAATCTCCAATTTCTTCTCATTCCTAGGCATGCAAAGGAATCAAATCGAGACATTCAAGTTCCAGACACATGGAGGCATGCAAAGGAATCAAATCCAGACATTCAAGTTCCAGACACATGGATTTAGCTTTTACATGGATGAGGTGGAATGGGTTAGGGTGGTTACTCAAACGGTGGCTACCAACATCTATACCATTCATTACCTTTATTTTATTATAATTTTAAATTAATGATTAAGATTAGCTAAGGGTAATTTAGGAAATGAAAAACACACCACACCTGATTACTATATATATTTTATTCAAACCCTAATACCTAGCCGTCGTCTCCTCCCTCCTCTCCCTGTCGCTCCCGCTCTCGATCAACCTCCGCCTCGTCAGCTGTTGGCGTAGCGTTAATGGATATCAGCGGACGAAGAGCTCTCCTCATGGTGATTAATTAGGAGCCAGAGCTAGCTAGTTTCCATTTCATGGATCTCCCGCATCCAGGTCCCTCTTTCTTCTCCCCCATTTTTCTATTGAACTCCGGATTCTCTCCCTCTCTTCGTTTTCGCCCAATTTTTTTTGGGCTTTGATTGCTGTTGGCTTACCTCAATCAATCTCCGCCGACGTCCTCTCCCTGTTGTCTCTGTTTGCAACCATCATCACGACATTCATAGCTCTGGCTGCCGCCGGTTCTGGTATACCGGAGGTGAAGGCTTACCTCAATGGTAGTCTTTTTTTCCGTAGTGATTTTTTTTAAATGGTAGTCATTTTTTCCCGTAGTGGTAGTGTTATGGTCGTATTGGTATTGTTTTTGTCGCATTGGTATTATTTTTGTCGCATTGGTATTGATTTTGTCGCATTGGTAGTGATTAAATCTGCAATGGTATTGATGTTTTCTGAAATGGTAGTGTTTTTATTTCTTGAATGGTATTGATGTTTTGTATAATGGTAGTATTTTTTTAATGGATTGGTAGTGATTTCATGTTTTTTCTTTTGCAGAAAGTTTGAGAAAAATATGGAAAGGAGATCTGGCTGGAGATTATGGAAGTGAGAGAAAGAGAAAGAATTGTAATTAATAGATTTTTGTAACTACCTAAAATATAATTTATTAATTTAATTAATTAATATAATTTATTTTTCCATACCCAATTTACCCTTAGTAACCACGGTGATTACTATAAAAAAGTACTCACCGTAACCGCTCCCTGGATGAGGTAACTAATATTCCAAAGACAACAACGCGTTTACAAGAGGTATATAATATAATAAAGTAATTAAGCTGCAGGAGATAAAGACCAGAGATTTGAGATGGACGTGGCGGAGTTATTTTTACGTTGACAGCATCTGTCGGTCCATATATAACCAAATAGCTAGCAAATCAAAGAAACTAGAAAGTGAGAGCGGACAAACATGCAATTTGTTTTTGGTGATAAACATTAATTTAGTTAGTTTTAATTGTTTGTTGAGTATGACGACGATAACTAAATTCTCGTAAACCCACTATTAATTGCATAATTACCCTATTTGTACTTCGTGGTAAGAAAAACCTAAATTATTAGTAAGTAGGGATGATTAGCTTCAAAATCCATAGCTGTTCTAGATGGCAATGTATCAGGTTTCTCTAACCTCAAATTGGGAGTAGATCAGGTGGGTAATCATATGGTCAATAATTATGCATAATTCGATCAGAATCTGTCACATCAGTGCTTCTTCTCTCTCATAAAAAAGTCTTTAATTTCCCCTATTAATCTTCAACGGACGATTTCTCACTCTTTTTAAGTTGAAATTTAATTTTTTGCACAATTAGATCTGATTAATCGTGCTCTTCAAAATGATAACCACTTTGATATATTTTTGGAACAAAAAAATTGAGTCATTTTTTACCAGTTTATACCATATGATATTGATTAGTATTGAAATAAGAGCATATCATATGCTATGAAAAAATGTACCATGGTGGTATGAACATACCAAGACTGTAGGATGGTTGAATACATGATGGTAGGGGCATACTAACTGTCATTTACGACTTTCAACACTGTGTACCACAAGATACTACCCCGTACCAGGGTGGTATTTTTTGGTCCTGTATTCTGTTCACCCATAAATTTGTAGATCCAATAGATCACGATGAACTCGTTCCTTCTGTACAAAAATTTTCAAAAACGACTTAAAAATGAAGAAGATACCATATGGTATGCAGTTGGTAACGAGAGGCATGTAATTTTTTCTCAAAAAATATTGAAAATATATCTCATTTTGTAGGGTACAACGAACTTGTTCCATCAGTGCAAAAAAAAAAAAAAAATTTGAAATCCAAGTTAAAACGAAGAAGATATGAGCCGATTAAAAAAAGATAGGGAAAATAAAAATGCGTTTAATCGTCCACCCTTAGATTTGGATTTTCTAAATGAATGGTCCAGATTTAGTTACTGATGGGTGAACCATAGGTTATGAACTGTATCTGAAGCCAGGATGATTAGCTTCAAAATCCATAGCCGTTCTAGATAGATGGCAATGAATCAGGTTTCTCTAACTCCAAATTAAGGGACACTTACTAATAAAGTAACTTGTGGCTTAAAAAAAAATACAATCTAAACATTCAAACAAGGTATTTGTCTAATACATCAATTGAATTAATACATCAAATGATAATACACTAATTGACTTAATACATCAATCTAAAGAATCACAACTTCCAAACTACCTCTTAGTTCCTTCTACCAGTGAATTACACATTATTTGTATTTTATGGGTCGTTTTGAAATTACGATTGTTTTGGTGAGATTGTTACTATACATGTATTGTTTAGAATGCATAATTTTTTTAGCATAAATAATAAATGAATTGTTTCTGTGATGCGATAGAGACTATCACTCAAAATGAGTGATTGTTATATCTCAGCTTTTAATTTCGATTGTTTTGTCTCAGCTTTTAGTTGATGTGAAATACACAATCACACATACTAAATGTTGTATTTTACAATACATCAAATTCTACAATACATATATAATATTATACATACATTCACAACAATACATCAAATTCTACAATACATATATAATATTATACATACATTCACAACAATACATCTATTTAACAATCAAAACTTCCAAACCATTCGACTGTTTGAGATCTACCATTCTAAAATGAGAATTTGAGGAATTCAAATGTATAATTGGTGATGCGCCACGAAACTTCCAAGAAAAGAGAGGCAGAAAAATGGATGGTCCGGCCACGTGGCAGCTCCTAGTTGCAACAATGACTTCACCCCACCCATAAATAAAATTATATTATTTTCACGTCCCATATTATTTCGTAGCTTAATTAGTTAATAGATTAGTTACACAGGAAGAAAAAAATTGGTATTTAGCGTTAACCCTTTTAAAGCTTCGCATTAACTGTGGGATTAACCATGGTTAAATTAAATCAATAGTGCCTTGAGTTCCGGCTGCCTTATAAATACGCCTCCGACATTGCGAGCTCTGCTCTAATTTTCAGTAGCCACCAAGCAACTGAGCCAACTCGTCGCGCACTTCCCCCAGAGTCTAGTCCCGCTTCAACTCAGTCTCCTGCTATTTCCCTCTCGATCGCTTCCTCTTTGATTCTTCAAGGTTCGCAATTCTCTACCATCTCCGTAGATCCCTCTTTCTCTTTTTCTATATGGTTGCGCTCGAATGGCGTCTGGTTCTGTTTCCCCTGTTTTTGACTTGTTGATTCCAGAATCTCCATATATTCTTTGAATATTCATTCTCCGTTCTCCTTTCTGGGTTTTAGCCCTTCCTTGGAGACTGAGAGAAAGGGCAAATGATGGGTTGAAATGGGAAAGAGATGAATTGAAAAGGGTTCTCTCATTTTTGTGTTCTTGGTTTTGTTTTGAGTTATGCGATTTTGAACGAATTCCATTTTTGTGCGTTTGTCAATCTCTAAGTCAATGGCTGCTTCTGGTGGTGATCGATGAAATCTTCTCTTTTCTTTTCTGTTTTGATTATCCCTTTTTGTATATTTTTTCTTATTCTTTTGGGGTTTGATCATTGGAGATCGATCGGTCTACTGATGGTTTGATGTTCTTTGGTCATTGTTTCCATACTCAATTAAAATCTTCAGTTTCTTTGCAGGAGGAGGTGATAATCAATCATTGCTGCAAATCTTCCCCCCAACTCCTTGCTGTTGAAGTTTGATTCATCATGTGTCCTCCTTCACTTAACCCTAATGCTGAAATCGGCTTCGATTGTACACCGGAGGAGATTTGCAGCTCTCTTCACAAAATGATGAAAGGGTCTCCTCTCCCCAGCAACGTTGTTGACGACATTTGCCCCTACATCTACACCCCATCAAATTTACCAGGTAAAAAACTGCTTCTTGATCATGGCTTTAATTAACTAGATGGTTTGATGTAGTTTCCGTTTGGATTTTGATAATTTTCTGTTGGAAATGGTATTGGTAGCGCAGCTGATGTATGGTACTTGATCGAGAAATCAATGGAGAACAACAAGAATACAGAAACTGGGTTCTGGAAAGTGAAGGGGGAGGCGTTGAAGCTCTTCACAAATGCTGCATTTACTGGTTGGAGAAGCACATTGGAATACTATGAAGGCCAAGATCCGAGTGTATTGAAGACGGATTGGTTGATGCAGCAATATTGGGTGACCGAGACCGATCTGAATGACAGCGGCAAGCAGGCAAAGGTATTTCAATCTAAAGCCCCTGATTCTCTAGTGCTTATGATTTATGTAGTTTCCTGTTCTCCACCAAAAGCTGTCGGTCAAATGTCAGGGTTTGGTTGGATGGGGGTTTTGTAGGAATCCAGCAGCCTATGCCGAGTCTTCATTGATCGAGATCGTCTAAATCATAAGCGGGAGGAAGTGGATGCCCAGAAGCTAATGATTGCTGCTTTCAGTACTGATAGCAGTGGATCCACAAGCAAGGCTGAGGTATATTCCAGTTTCAACCTTTTGATATTGTTCTTCAGTCGTGGATATGCTTGAGTGCTTCATCGGCCTTGTTATTTTTTTGTTTGTTTGTTTTGAAGTCTATTCCGATTTTGTAGGGTGATAGGGCTGCTGTCGCAGATAAGTTGGCTGATGATTTGGAGGCTGATGCTGATTGTTATGCTCGAGGAGACTACTTGGAAATGCTAGATCTGGATATTCCGTTGTCTAGCTCTTCAGGCACAGACAATTCGAGTTGCGCTTCAATATCATCGGATGAGTATTTTGATTCGTGGGCTTTGCTTCGAGAGATAGAATCCGAAAGCATCCCAGAATCTGTGCAAAAGAATGTCTCCCCCTCCTGTAAGCCAGATGAGATGGTACTTGGTCCAGCTTCTCCAGGTTTGTTGAAGATAAATAAATTTGTGAATTGTGAGCTTAATTAGACACGGACGCATTTGGAATAGAACCTAAGTTTTGATTGTGAATCCTCCATACTTTTCTCCCAATAGGATCACCGGTCAGCATTCGTGAAAGCAAGCCAACATGTCAGCAGCAGCAATCCGCTCGGGTTGCAGGTCCATCTGGGTCGAACGATGAGGTTAAGCAGCGACCATCTAGAAAGCACAAATTGGCTGACAAGGACAAGGGTTCATCATCGGATTCTTCTCATGGAGGAAAGTCCTCATCTGGAGGAGATGGTGGGGAGAAGAAGGCTTCTTCTTCCAAGGGGAGAACGAAGAAGAAGCGTAAGAACAAGTATTTCTGCTTCATGCCATTCAACTTCATGTTCTGATATTTGCAGTGTTTAGTATATTTTGACAGAAGAATATCTTTTGATCTGTGAGATAAAACTGTATAATGTATAGATAGAAATAGGGACGAGAGGAAGGATCTTTCGATTGATCGATCCTTGACAGTATAGGAAGGCAGATACAATGAAGAAAGGGTATATGATTGTGAATCCCTTTTGGTGATCCTTGTTGTTCTTTGATGCTGTAGAGATGGATACATCCTTGGCAAATTTCTTGTTGACATTGTTGTGTAACACTATTAAACTCCTTTGTATCATAGATTCATAGTACATACTCCATTTTCCCATATACATGTTGGGTTCAGTTGGGGAACTGGGACGTATGGTTTTCTCAATATGGAATGTTTGACACTTGACAGGGTATCTAAGAATTTATCTTTTTCAAGTATGTGTAAATTTTGACCGAGAAGAGACTATATATTTTTTTATAATGATGATATTTTTATTGAAACTTAAATAACAGCGTAAACGAAGATAAAAAGACGATAGCACAAGGAGTGCACCGCTAATACAAGGCGTTCAAGTACAGAACAGGAAAAACAATTCAAACTAGAGAGCTATATTAATCATACTGATTCATCCCCATTGGCATTCCTCAAATCACGACTTTTGAAGTTCTAACCATATCAAAACTATTTGTGCTCGTTGAAACTAGTGTAAGCCTGGTGGCTTCTTTTCTCTTTTCTTGTCGAATTCAACCTTGTACTTCTCGCTACAAGCTATCGGCAGATTCTATGAATTCTATTATTTGTTTGCCAAATGGTTCACTGAAAATGTATATATTGTAACATTTTTCTTGCCTATTTTAGAAGTTTTTCGACTAAAATAAGTACGAAATTGTAGCATATATTTACTAACGTGATATATTGATTTTCGAGGTTGTAGGGGGTATTCAAGCCTGCTGAGTGCTGAAGTTGGTGATTGGGTCTCATTTCACTTGATTCTTACATGGGCCTAACAATGGATCCTTGCATCCCTAGTCTCCGACGAATTGGATCTGGAGGCCCATTCTTCTTCTTGAAGCAGCGAACAGATGCAAGGCCTTCCCGTGAAGGCGACCAAAAATGTCAACACTAACTTGAGCATATCCTACTACAAAGTCATGTTATCTATGTGTTCGAGCCTAGTGTAAAGCATTTTGGCTATATCCCAAGCCCCATTCTTAAGCTTCCAACCTAGGTTTGAGGCCTTGAGCAGTTGATCACATGATTCTCTCTCTAACCTTTATCTCTCTATAATTACCCCAAGCCCCATTCTTAAGCTTCCAACATAGGTTTGAGGCTTGGAGCACATGATTCTCTCTCTAACCTTTATCTCTCTATAATTACCCAAGCCTCATTCTTAAGCTTCCAACCTAGGTTTGAGGCCTTGAGCACATGATTCTCTCTCTAACCTTTATCTCTCTATAATTACGTTCATATATATCAACCATATACCATACTAATTTGGATGTCGGAGTGTAGATTACGAAAGAAACCCCCTGCCTCTCCACAAGTTTCTTCCATACCCGAAGAGATCTAAAGAAGGAATCTGAATCAGAGCCCCAAACATCATTATCGATCCAAATCTTTAATCTTGGTGGAAGTAGTTTTATATTGTATCTCGATAGACCATCTTCTCGATCGTTACGGAAAACTAAATCACCATCAGTTTTAAATGTAACAGTTTAAGTTAACTTATTATTATTATTATTATTATTATTATTATTATTATAAATGGATGCGAAGCATTCTAACCTTCATTCAAAACCATCCGGAATTCGGAAATCCCTTCAATGTCATACAGGAGATAAAGCCGTAAAACAGGATCAGTAACAGGTACAAAGTGGAAACCAAGTTCCATCTAGTGACCTCTAGAAGCAAGAAAGTCAGTACTCTTATTCCCCTCTCTGTAAATGTGCCAACTTATGAGTTAATTAATTTGCATTTAAAGCACCATAAAAAATCTCCTTATTTTACTCGTCATTATGGTACACTACGCGAAGCCCTGCCTAGAGAGATCAATTAAAGTCTAATCCCTAACAAATTTCTCATGGTGACAACTATCATCTAACTCTACCTATTGCCTTATCAAAGTTTTTACCGTGCCACTCTATCCAGCTGAGATTTAAAAGCACAATCTTTGGAGTATCACACAGAGCTTATTACCCACAACCAGAAGGTCCATGGAACATAAATAACACAGCAAGAGTCAGCAATTGCATTAATAATGGCGTGTTTTGAATGACACCAATTACTGTTAATGCACCACACCAAGCTACATTACAAACCCCAACTAACACTACCACCCACCTCCTGGAATAGGTTAGCGTGGTTACTCAATTTTGAGTAATCATGGTGGCTACCAAAATCTACACTCTTTATTATCTTTATTTTATCCTATTTTTAAATTGACGATACATATTAGATTAAGGGTAATTTTGGAAATGAAAAAGCAACACACCTGATCACTCTCTATATTGAAAAAAGAAAACCCCCAACATCCCCATTCCCTGTAGCCCAAGAGACCTTTTACTGTGCTTAGTGACTCATAATTACTGTTTCGACTGGGAAGGGATCTTGGTGTGGGCGGCCATTTGGTGAGGGCTCATTGGAAACGAATGAAACTAGGTGGGTCAGTTGCGTTTTTATCATAGTTTCCTTTTTGGTTACGGTTACTTTACGTCCCCTCTCACGCGTTGATCACTCGGCGAATTCTCTCACCTTGGGGTTGGCAAAGTTGGGAAGCCCGCCGTTGGTTGATGTGCCCCTTTTTCTACCACATATTCCACCTAATTCAGCCCGGTTGCCAAGAGAGAAAGTGGGCCAAATCAGGATAAGGGAGGGAGTGCAGTGTAAATTAAAGATAAGAATTCAGAACTCTTTTCACTCCTCTATCTTATCTACTTCTCGCTCTCTCTTTCTTTCCATCTCCTATCTATGTTGTTTTTTCTGGTCTCTCTTCTTAGGAGATGGACGGATTTGAAAGCGATAAAGAGGCGGTTTTGAGAGTTCCGGTAAGGATCCGGGTAAGATCCAGGCAAGCCGGTTCTGTCTTTGATTTCAGGTGATTTATCCTCTCCCTGATTTATCATCTTCACTCTTTTTGCATTTTGTTCATCTTCTAGACCTGTCGGGTTCTTTTAGAGGAGATCCGGGCGGGCGATTCAACGACGACATCTAGGGGTGTTAGTAGATTAAAAAATGCTATGGTTCATTAAGCTTTTCCCAGCCTATGGCATTCGGTTTGAAGCGTTGTGAGATGGGCTGTTAAAATCGAACTCCTACAGGAGATTGACAAGATGGGGAACCCATTTTTTGCTACCGCTGCATTATCTACAAGAGGAAGGCGCACATTGGTCGATGGATCTGCATGTTTCAAGGGAAAATTTTATTCTTCAGGTGGTTGCTCTATCTATCATGGGTTTGGTCTCTTCCTCTCCTCTCCTCTCCTCTCCTCTCCTCTCCTCGCTGAGATCAAGTCGGTGGGGACTCTTTCTTTGACGCCGATGCAAACGTTGAAGACTAATTGATTTCCGGCGTTTGTTGAAGCTGCGATGGTGATGGTAGAAGTCAAAAAATTGGGAGGAGACCCAGGAAGATATTTAATGGTGAGGTTTGTAGTGGTCGCTTTTTCTTGAGCATCTTCGATTCTCATATATGAATCTTATATATCCTATCTGCTGAATTATTGCAGTAGCCTTTGTTGGAAGCAAATGTTTGGGTTTGGTTTGATCTTTCCTAATCCTACAACATCACCACCAGTTTTCCAGACGCCAAAGTTCTGGCACACCATTTGGTACGTTGCCTTTTTCTGACTTTTACCCTGTGTTTTTGCCTTCCAACAGTCATGTATATACTCCGATGATTTCTTTTCCGAATTGGTTCCGATTTCGATTTCTTACTTTCTTTTTGTTATCTGATATTTGTTTGGTTGTGTGTACGTATGATGGTGGTGGTGATGTGAACCTTCTCGGAATCATTTTCTAAGCTGCTTTGATGGTCTCATGTGATTTGTCACTATTCCTCCGAAGCTTTTGTCATTGGATTTCCTGATAATGGTGTGATTACTAACTGCTCTATTTCTTCTCATTCTATTTGTAGATTATGCGTTCTTATGTTTAAATGGTAAGCTACGGATTGAGGGTGAGGGATTTTTCTTTATTAGCTTTACTGTCCATGTTGTTTTTCCCTTTTAAAGTTGCTGGTCTTATTTTCTTTACAAATAAATTTGCTAGGTTGTGGTCATGGATGGTTAGGGAACTTCATTTTGTGATTGGAATAGTTCCACTGATCCACTATGATATTACCTGTGTTCTGAATGTATGGCCATCCAAAAGAGTTACAAATCAGTGGTTACTTGAGTGTTTGAACATATTAGTGTCATCTCATTTAGTTTGTGACAATCCTTACCTTTTCTTCTCTGAGAATACTAATGAGCAGCAATTGAAGTTCTGTTCCTTTCTGTTATCTTATATGCAGGTGTCCGGAGGTAGTTTTGGTTATTAAATGGTCAAATTAGTTGCACAATATGTACCAGTGGGTTAGATCCCCACGAGATTTTCCATATTTGTCTGGATTTGGTTTTGTAACAGAAATTCTTCAATAAAAAATTTAGTATTATTTGATGTTAACAATTGTATATGGATTTTGTCTCTACTATATTTCTGCTTTACATATTAAACCACAATTTGTAAATAGTCTAAATGATTTTAAAATTTCTCAGAGGACTGATATCTTACAAGTTATGATTTGGTCTTTTCTTCATTTGATCATACATACGATAGAACCTGATGCTGCTCATTTTATTGCAGCACAATCCAACAACTGTATACCATTGTGAAAATCCACTTCTTCGTGGCTTCCTTGAGATTTTAAACTGATAATGTAAACCATCAGCGCTAAACCAACATTAAATCAGTCATATCATGATATATATCTCTTGAAACACAAAATGATCCAATTATATATCTTCGGTAGGCCTCAAATCCCAGCGCGGAGCGCGGGTAATGAAGACTAGTTATACCTAAATCCTACTACAACCATCTTCATAGCCGCCATCTCTCCTCCCTTTGACCCACCCCACAACCCCCTTTGCCTACCACCACCATCCCCTTCCCCGCCATCCCGCCATCCCTCCTCCCTACCTCCTCAGTCGACGACGATGACGAGAAACCAAGGTCATGAGCAACGAGCGTGGCGTCGACATCCTGCCCTACGAGTGCAACTTCAAAGATTTGCCGGGACTACATCAAGATGGATGAGGTCGCCGTGGACAATAGTTCTCACTCGCTTCCACTCCCTTTACATGGCACCATGTCTAAGATGCAGGGCGCACCTCTCCCTCCATGAAATCCACTATGTCTAAGATGGAGCGCCACCTCTCCCTCATGAAATCCACTAAGGGGTCAGCTAGGTTTCACTCACTCCCCTCGCAATCTCTCTCTCACACAGGCGGCTGGAAAAGGTGGGATGAATAAAAATCCTATATCTGATTTTTTTGCAATGGTCGTGATTTTTTCGTAGTGGTAGTGTTTTTTCGCATTGGTATTGTGACTCGCTCCTACCGTCACTCTAGAAAATGGCCAAGTGTAACCACCTCCTAAAGCGTAGTATAGCGGGTTTGGGTTTTAATGTCAACCCGGGTCCTAAGTGTGGTGACTACTCCGTGAGTTCTTATCATTTAGCGGTGAAACTTTAGTGAAGGTCCAAACAAGCAAACAAGCAAACAAGCAAAGCAGGTAAAAAGGTTGTTTTCAAGTCGAGAGAGGTCACCCGGAAATGGTTCCCCCTAGACTGCAGTTAAGCCGGATTGTAATTTACCAAGTTCAATTTCAATGATAGTTATACTGCGTGAGGTTCTTAAACAGTCTGAAGTCTCGACTAAAGGTCTCCAAACCCTCTCAATCTGAGTCCCCAGCGGGCGACTAACCTCCACTACCGAAATAAATCCGGTACAGAATAGTGAATTGACTCCTCGACTAAAGTCGTCAATTCAATACCTTCAATCAAAGATGCTCTATCAACCTAGGAAGATATTCTCATTCTAGGTCAAAGCATAAATAACAGGAATTTGATCAGGATTCATGCCATTCAACAGTTCAAACCTCAATTGAATATAATCAAATCATAGAATATGTACTTGGGTTCATACAATCAGACCTAACATACAAATCTAGGGTTCTTCATACCCAGGTGAATAGGAAAGTTACTCCATAGAGAGAGATGGGAAATCTAGCTCAGATGCGGAAACCATACTGTGAAGGATGATAATCTGCTTCTGGCACTCAATCGGATCTTCTCCAAGCTCAAGCCGGGCTCCAATGGTGATGGAGATCGATCTAGGACACTTGCAGAATCAGGTTCGTCACTTTCTCTCTAGGTCGCACTTTTTCTCTCTAAAACTCGGAACCCTTCTCATTTGGCTGGAAATTGGGTTAAAACCAGAAATTCCCGATCACACGGCCAGGCCACACGGCCGTGTGACTTTCCTAGCTGCCTGTGTGAGTGTTCAAACGCGGCGTTTCGATTAGTGGGCTTCCAGGCATGCTGCACGGCCAGGGCCACACGGTCGTGTGAATTCCCAGGCTGCCCGTGTGGGATTTACCGAGCCTTCACACGGCCACAACGGGTCCCCTACACGGCCAGTGTGGCTTGTCCATGTAAAATGGTGCCACACGGCCACGTCACACGGCCGTGTGGGATTTTAGGCGTGCCCGTGTGGCTTCCTCAGATTCTCGCCAAAACGTCCAATCTTCGTCCAATCGACCCCGAACTCTTTCCCAAGCCTTCATTCACGTGCTAGGACTTGAAATATCACAAACAAGAACAACCTAGCGTGAAATCGGCCTAAAACGCGGGAATCGACATCTCAAACGGCTCAAATAGGAGTAAAAAACATGTGCAATCAATGGTCTATCATATTGTTTTTGTCGCATTGGTATTGATTATCATGTAATGGTATTAATTTGCATGTATTGGTATTGATCAAATCTGCAATGGTATTGATTTTTTTTGCGAAATGTATATATTTATATTGGTAGATTGTTTATATTAGTAGTTCTCGTGTAATGGTATAGATTTATTTCTGCAATGGTATTTATATTTTTCAAAGTGGTAGTGGTTGTCTAATGGATTGGTAGCGATTTCGTGTTTTTTTTTTCTTTTGCAGAAAGATTGAGAAAAATAAGGAAAGGGGATCTGGTTGGAGATTATGAAATTGAGAGAAAGAGAGAGAATTGTAATTAATAGATTCTTATAACTACCTAAAATGTAATTTATTAAAAAAATTAAATAATACAATTTATTTTTCATACCCAATTTATCCTTAGTAACCTGTCTACGCCTCGTAGCTTCCACAAAATGCCACAAATTTCTTCCTTCTCTAACGCACAAAAACCGAAACAGAAGTAGAAGATCGAAGAAGAAGAATGGAGTAGCTAGATTGTGACTCTTTACCGAATATTATGCCCGTGGATTTGACCCTTTGTTATAGGCTTTGGTCAAAACAGGTTGCAATCTTGAATCTTAGGAGATACATTTGCATATAATGAATAATCCATCTTGTTTTCTCTCTGCTCACTTACTATTTTTTTTTCCTTCACCAGTCTATGATCCAATTTCATTAGATTCACGATCTCCATATTTTTCCTCTCCATGTTCGCAATAACGGATCATCTAGAGCTTATTGACAATATTATTTGCGTATCTTTTTCTCCATCAATTCTCTTATAGCTTGTCATGTCCATCATTTTCCTACTTTAGTCTAGTCTCAATTATGGATGTTAATGAACCAAGTCGCTTATGAATGGCTCTGCGTCCGACTCGAGAAAACTCGTTCGAGACTCGATTCGTTTTAATCGAGCCGGCTCGCAAACAAGTTCGTTAAACTAAACGATATGAACTCGAGCCATACCATGTTCAGCTCGAAAGCTCGCGAACAAGCTCCTTTAACGACTTGGCATTAGAAAGGATTGGAATTCATAGATTTTATGTATTGATATTGGGATAAATATTGTGTTTTGTTTTGCTAGACTTTGCTGCAGGTTTGAATGTAATTTTGTGCTCAGTTCTAACTCAATCTTGAGCTATAATAAACATTTATGTGTTCAACTCGATATTGGGCTCGTTAAGCTTATTTGGTGAACCGAGCTCGAGCTTTCATTTTCATAAACGAGTCCGAGCTTTGCAAAGTTCGGCTCGGCTCGGCTCATTAACAACCCTAGTCTCAACCAATGCAGTGAAAAAAATTATATTTAAACTTTAAAGCATAAAAGGTTAAGCTTTTACGCTTTAGTCCTAAATATTGTAGCTTTTATTGCAAAATCAATTTGCACCAAAAGCCTAACAAAAGTCTCGGTGAAAGAGTTCAATGCTAGTAAAAGTCTTATAGAATTTAGCTTTTAAACCATTTTTATACTTTAGGTCAGGTTTGGGTCAATTTTGCTCGCCAAAAAGGGGGGGAAATGATGCAGTTGTATTTTTTTTAAAGTTGGGTTATCCTTTCAACCTTCCTTTATACGAATCTCTCATACCTAATTCTTCGTCGCTTCTCCTCGATTCTCTTTATCTCACTGCCTCTAAATCATCACATACAACATCCATGGTCCAATTGCGAGCGTCCTCTCCCTTCGTTCGCCACAATGTTGCGTCTCGATTCCTCTTAGGTGGCTCCCTTGCTAAAACACCTTGGTCATCGTCACTGGATGCGACAACCCTCTGCATCTTCATGATTCCCTCCACACCTCTCTGAGTATGCTTCCATCAATGTTCTTCTCTTTCAACCTCCCACTTGCCGACACTTTCACTTATTAGTGAAGTTTGATGACAACTCTTCTAAGTTTATCATTTGGCAATGGTTTGTACTTCTCATTTCTCCCGAATGCATCGCGAAGGTGGTGTCTTTTTAAGAGCCTAATCATGTAGTTTATGTGCGTGAGAGTGATCTTTTAAATATGAGCTACTTCACTTATTTGTTTATATTTTACAAAATACAAGTTATAGTTAGAAGATTTCTATCAAATTTACATGATGCGTAAAAAATTTCGCTTTTACTGATCATCATTTCGCTTCTAGCTAGGAGCTAGACTTTGACTGCATCGGTCTCAAAATTGATACTAAACAAGGTCTAATTAAATAAGTAATTGAATGCGTTTCAATTTCTCGTCGTAAGCTCTCATAATAGTTTAGAATTACTAACTAAATACATTTCTCTTTTATATTTTCATATTGCTATGGTCGTACATATATGGCTCTCTTGTTGCGGCTCTATACAACCATAACAGCAACAAAACGGTATCAAACTAGAAATTAGTCTTGTATGCGGTTGGAGTTGGAGTGGGTGGGCCGGGCTACGCCATAACTTCCAGATCATATTTCTGGACAGGGAAATCAAAATGTCATATTACAATTATTATGTAATGACAGCTTGGAAGTAGAAGAAAAGACATATTTTAATACCTATTTTTTTCCATTATTCGAAAGGGTTATATATTGTTAATACTTAATAATGATATAACTCCCTTTATTGACACGATAGTAGGATGATATAGTCCACCGAAAACTGAGTACGAGCTCACGCGATTTGCAAAGTTGAAAACCTAAACTCAAAATTTTAACAAAAAATGACTATGTGGCTGAAAGCCAATTTATAAGTTAACTTGTGGCTATAGAAAGTTCCCTGAATCCCTCGCAACCAAACTGCTGCGAAAGCAATCAACTTCAGCAACTATATAACCCTATGAATAACCTGTAAATTTAATAATACTGCGCAACCTCTATTAAGTATTATCTCACCGGCCGAATGTCTCCACAATCATTCAAATGCTAACACGAACTGAAAAGTTGGTTGTATCGATCTGGTAAATCGTGATCTAGATCAGAATAGAGCAAATATCAATACATTTTATAATACAACAGCACCATCAGGAGGAAGAGGTAGCCGACGATGCTGTCTTTAGAAAGCATCAGGATCGGAATCCGTCTCTTACTCGTTCGGTAGCGGCGACGGAGTAGGATGACACCCGGAGTTGTTGCTTCCTCCGGCGGCGAGCGTGGCGATTTTGCCCCATTTCAACGAGACAGGGAAGTTGTGGAGCGACTTCGGCTGTGGTTTCACCAGTGCCGCGCCATTGAAGAGAAAATGAAACCCTTCCTACAGATTCATACGCCGATATACACTGGCCGTGTTCGTACCAAAAAAGGCTCTCTACAATCTAGCGATGTACACTAATTGATTATGAACAAATAATCGGAAGATGAGGAGAAGGAGAAACCCTAGGGGGGAGAGATGTATCATCGAATTGGGGTAATAGTCCAATTCGGCTCCCGATGGGTAAGGGTTTAATCTGGCCGTTTGGATTGCCGGGTTAAGTGGGTTGATTAGCCATTTTTTTATTATTATTTACACTGATTTGTCATGCTGACGGGGTGATTGGGGACGGAGTTTTGGACGAAATTGGACGGATTTACTATTTTGTTATTCGCTCAAACCTTTGTTATCAAAACGTACAAAATTAAAGGATTGTAACTGTTTTGTACAAAGTAAATAGGTTTGTGACCGTTTATAATAACTACCCTATAATCTATATATTTCTCCTTGACTTGGCAATAGAAAGAAATCAAGAATAGAAGACGGAGGGAGGGAAACAAACAAAAAGGTAGTTAAAGGATGGAGCCCAGCCCGGCCCACTGGTAGTCTTGTCTTCCTTTATCTTATCACGCGGACCTTCTTACCCTGCTGCTACCCGATTCCTCGACCGTACCCTCTCTCTCTAGTTTTTTTTAGTGATCTCTCTAGCTGTTTCTTAATCAAATAATTTAACTCTACAAAGATTAGCAGGCTAAGTAGCTAACTATGAGTAATAGTAATTCATCGGAAAACTTAACCAAAAAAAGAAGATCAATTTGATTAATTAATTAATTGTACACTGCATAATAAACATATCACAATTATATTGTCCCGTCCGACACTGACATCCACATGCCTTTTTTTATTATTATTATTATATATAACGCCTTCATTCTTCTCCATTATTCATTATCCTCTCTCTCTCTCCCCCTCCATATCTGTCCTCTTTAATGTTTGCTTCCAACAATAATAATAAAATAATGTCCTGAAAATGATTATACCCTGCGCCGCAGCCGCACTCGAACTTACCCTGGTCCCCCACTATCCCGATCCAACGGCTGGAGGATGCAGAGGGCATTCGACGGATGGGAAAAAAGAACTTCTGTCCGCGGGAAATTCCCCCAGCAATGGCGGGAAAAACTGGTAGGAAAAGAAAAGGATGCAACTGCCTTTTCTATTATTTATTTCACTAGTTTATATTTTTTTCTTATATTCTCCTTAATTAATAAGTTTCTGGATTGATTTTTCCCCGGAGGACAGAGACAACGCCGTTTCCCGCTTCCGGCCATCAAGCGTTGCCGGGCCCCACTCGCCGACTTCCGTTACAGCGTTTCGTTTACCACCCGTAATGCGAAATTACGACAATGGGTTTGGGATAAGTAATTTGCGCCAATCATGAAGCCCTAATCCAGAAAGGATAGATATGTAATTTGCTTGTCTTCACCTGGGAACACCGTTTCTTCTTCTCGACCATGGACCATGGTCAATTGTCAAACAGAGCAGCTTAATTAATTAATTAATTTCCGTTGTAAAAAAGGAGCTTTGGAGTAAGAAAAAAAAACCGCTGGTGGTTTCTTTCTTTTGCCTACTTTAACCTCCACGAATACTTGCCTCTCTCTCTCCGATGACGTGGCGTTATCCAATTGGTGCGTTGGCAGTCGTCGGGATCCATAGCCTACACTGCCATTAAGGAAAAACCAGTCACTCTCACCATTTCTCTCTCTCATAGAAGAAGAAAAAAAGAGAAGCAGCAAAGCAGAGCACTCTTCATCATTTTTTTTGGGGTGCTTTGTGGGGTTTTCTCCCGGCAAAGAAACCACCACTGATCACTCGAATTCTTCCCTCTTCCGATCTCCCCAACCGACGGAACCGCAATCGGCAATGCGCGATCTCCATTCCGGTTGTGGTTTCGGGTCCTGATGTTGTGAAATTGGGGAGTTACTTTATTTTTAGTGAGAAAAGAGGAATACAGAGTGTGAATAGAAAAACAGGGGTGGTTAAAAAATGCTGGAGGCAATGGAGAGTTCGGTGAACGGCGGCTACAGAGGAGGAGGAGGAGGGTTCTCGCAGTTTCAGAGCTGCGGGGACAGCAGCGAGGAGGAGCTCTCCGTGCTGCCGCGCCACACTAAAGTGGTGGTGACCGGGAATAACCGGACCAAATCGGTGCTTGTGGGGCTGGAAGGCGTTGTCAAGAAGGCTGTTGGCCTCGGCGGTTGGCATTGGCTGGTCAGTCTCTCTCTTTCGAGCTTTCTGGCAAATGGGTTTTGTGGGTTTGGCTTGAATTGGGTGTGGGTTGTGAATTCTTTTTGCTTTTGGGTTTGGAAGTTATTGGATTGGATTGAATTGCATTGAGTGTGGGTTGATGAGAGTGTTGGTTGGACAATGCGGGTCAAAATTTTTGTGGGGTTGTGGATTAGTGTGATGATAAATTTCGTTTCAATCTGATGGTTAATCATTGGGGCTTTCTTTTCTGCATTAATGTATTGGGGGGTTATTGATTAAATGAATAAATTATAGGTTTAGATAAGATAACTGTCCTCCCTAGAACATTTCTGATTTCCTTTATTGGGGGAATATGGATTGGGTCTAATTGGTTTCATTCCTAAATTTTGCATGAATTAATCTCTGTTGTGCACAAAAAGTTAGGTTTCAATTCTGGGTTTTGAGCGATCAGTCCTGATTTCAATCTGCAATCTTCACAAGTGGATCTGGTGGTTCATTACTGTGGGATTAACAGATGACATTTTGATTGATCTTCTATTGTTAGATTGCTTTTTGGTTGTTGGGTTTTGTTGGTGGGTTGCATGGTGGAAGTTGGGTGATGAAATTATCTTTTTAATTGGGTTCCATTAGCGTTTAGTCCAGTTTTGACCTTGCATGAGGAAAGTATCATTATCCTCAGCTTGGTCTCGCTCATGGCGTCTCGTTTATTTTGGAAAAAGCCCCCCTTTTTACATTTGTAATAAATAAAAAAAACTCTTCTCAGAGCTCTGCACATGGGAGAGGGAAACATGTTTGTCCTGCGGCTTCATAAAAAAAAAAAAAACTATCTTTTTATCCGTTTTAGGCAGGTTCATAATATCTCGGTGTGATGTTGTACAACCAAGCAAACTACTGCAGCTGACTTTGTGCCTTCTTTGAGCTGGAATTTGAACTAATTTGGAATTTTGATTCATCCGAGAAGGGTTTTTTCTGTGAAAATTTTCACCAGGTTCTGACTAATGGCATAGAAGTGAAGCTGCAGAGGAATGCTCTTAGTGTGCTGGAGCATCCAACTGGTAATGAAGATGACGAAGATCTCGAATTCGAGACCGTGCAGTGGAATGTTTCAGAGATGAGTAAGTTTTTCCATTAACAGAATGTTTGTTTCCTTAATTGGTACACACAATTTATCATTTTGGTTAAGTTTTGTTCAACATTAGTTCATCACTTTTCTCCAGTTAATGAACAGCTCTGCTTTGTATGGTTTTTTGCTGTAATTGAGACCCTATTCTAATTCAGTGGTTGAGCGTTTAACTCTGTGATGTTGAGCTCTCTCTGCTTTTGTCGTTGTTAGTGGAAAATATTGTGAAGAAAAAGAAAAGAGTTTGGTGCATAGGATCCATTCTGTCTCCACCTTTAAACTTCCACTTTAGCCAAAAGCTTAATTGTCTTGTTATCACCATCTCTTTACCCTTTTGTTTCAAGTGGACCCATGATTTGTGCCAACCTTTGATTCGTTTCCACTCTATTCTTTTGTTTGGTTCGATGTTCTAGCATCTGATGATACCCACAAGTCCCAGAGATCGCGCCATAATAGGACGCACAAGTCATCAGGATCTTCCCACAAGTCCTTCAGCAGATCTGTATCTTGTGACTCACAGTCCAAGAGTTCTGTTTCTACTCCTCATGGGTCCGCTGCTGCGGTTAGTAACGCGTCAAACTACTTCTGTTACTCTTCTTTGGTTGGCTTCTTGTGTTATTGAGCTGTGTTTCTTAACATTCTTCGACTTTGGTTGCAGAAGGTTGACCTTAGCAAGCTGGAGATGGCCGCATTGTGGAGATATTGGCGACACTTCAATCTGGTAAACCCTTAGCTGTTTTACATCCTGTAATTCGTATCAACAGATTAACTGAATCGTAGTGTCATTGGTACCAATTTGGATTGCCATGGTACTTTGAACACCCTTGTTGATTGATTAGGTTGTGTTGTTTTTGGTGTGTAATCAGATGGATGCTTTCCCTAATCCGTCCAAGGAGCAGCTAATCGAGGTCGTTCAAAGGCACTTCATGTCACAGGTACAGATCACAGTGTTCACCACACCTTACTGCATTTACATTAATCTCTCTATATCAAAACTCGCAAAGAATCTGAATGGAACAGCGGGTTGTGTTTTGTCTTGGTTTTGGTGGTGAAGCAAATGGATGAGTTGCAAGTGATCGCCGGATTCGTTCAAGCAGCAAAGCGATTGAAGACGGTATGCAAATGATGAACCACAAAGATACCATCATTTTGAGATGTTGAGTTTGAAGGTCTCATCTCAATGCTAACCAGATTTACCCCTCTTCCCTTCTGGGATGTTCATCTACTTCCCCCTTTTGTTTACTCTTCTCTGTCTCAATAGCGTTACTAGCAGAAGAAGAGTTTATAGTGTGTAGATATATATTATATATAATAAGAATATTATATATAAAGAAATATGTACGGGCTGGGTGAGCTGGAGGGAAGACTTTTGGTTTTTTGGGCTCTGAATATTGTGGACAGATGTGGATGTGCTGACTGACTGTGGGGAGAAAGTTGGGATTTTAGTTGAAAATTGTATATATAAAATCTACCTTTGTTTTTGTCTCATTCCCTTTTGCTCTACTACTTAATTATTCTTATTGACTTAATGTGGTTTGGAGAATGGGATATAAAGTGTGGATTTATTGAATCCGTAAATTTTATAGAAATTTATGTTTTTTTTTTGTTGCTTTTTGAATTGTGGATTTTAGTTTTATAGACTTTAAATCTACGTATATCAAATTTCTCATAATCATAGAAATTCTATATATTGATTCGTGAGATTTTTTTCTCCTTCTTTTATTTATTTATCATATTAAATATATTTATCAACAAAGTTTTTAATATTTTTTGAACTACTCTAATTTTTTTTTATTAAGGATAAACATGTTACTTAATATAGAATTAAAACTTTTATTTTCATTGAATGTTAACAATGAGAGTTACCAAATCATAAACATTTTAAAATCTATTTTCAACAATCCGAAGACGAAGAGTTAGAATCTTTAGATTGTTAACAATCTATAGATTTAAACTCATATTCTCCAAATGATCTTAATGTTATCTTATGATTGTTAATGGTGGTGGGAGTCAAACTGATGAGATCTTTGTGTCTTCATCGGAAGCCAGGCCCGGCCCAGGCCCTGTGCTGGTCAGACCCACAGCACAGGGCCTCAATTTTATTGGGGCCTCATAATCAATTAAGTCTGGAGGCCCATATAAATCCTTAGTTCGGAGGTCCATAATCAATTTTCTCCTTCTTTTATTTATTTATCATATTAAATATATTTATCAACAAAGTTTTTAATATTTTTTGAACTACTCTAATTTTTTTATTAAGGATAAACATGTTACTTAATATAAAATTAAAACTTTTATTTTCATTGAATGTTAACAATGAGAGTTACCAAATCATAAACATTTTAAAATCTATTTTCAACAATCCGAAGACGAAGAGTTAGAATCTTTAGATTGTTAACAATCTATAGATTTAAACTCATATTCTCCAAATGATCTTAATGTTATCTTATGATTGTTAATGGTGGTGGGAGTCAAACTGATGAGATCTTTGTGTCTTCATCGGAAGCCAGGCCCGGCCCAGGCTCTGTGCTGGTCAGACCCACAGCACAGGGCCTCAATTTTATTGGGGCCTCATAATCAATTAAGTCTGGAGGCCCATATAAATCCTTAGTTCGGAGGCCCCGTTGGGCTGGCGAGGCCCACACTCGAACTCCTTGGGCTGGCGAGGCCCACACACACAAAAACCCAAAGTACAAAGGTGCAGGAGGAGAATCAAACCGCGGTCCTATCCTTTTCATCAAAATAAGACGCAACCACTGAGCTATGACTTATTTGTTGAATCAAAACTAACAGTTAGGTATTTAATCTTCTTCTCTTTTCTCAAAATTCTCAACTTCTCAAAAATATCCAACGCCTAAATATGAATTGTATGCACCCAATTCTAATTATGTCAACCCGAAAATTTGAAAAAGTTAATTTCTAAGCGTAGATAATATTATTATTTTCCAATCATTTTCTGAAGTTGTCATTTTTATTATTATTTAATAATTTTATTTTTAAAAAATTTATGAAAAAATGTTTTGGGGCCACATTTTAAATTGTCGAACAGGGCCTCCGATTTTCATGGGACGGCCCTGTCGGAAGCTTGGTTGTGAAATTATTCCGTTTAATTAATTAATTGGTATATATATCATTATTATTATGAGGATTTTACATAATGCGTAGCTTTCACTGAAGTGAAATGGATAATACCAATAATTATTATTATTCTTATTGATGTCGAAATCCGAAAGATATCAAAGTATCTAAATGGGACCCTGTTTCTGCAATCTGTTTTGTACAATTGTACTGTGATGCTGATCGAATTGGAGACACCAAAAGCCCAAATAGGTCAGGTCAGTTCCAGTTCATTTGGTTGCTTGCTCCTTGAAGGCCTTGAGCGGCCTACGCTGTTTTGTTCCTTGACTGGACTAGCTTATAAATCGACCAGTTGGCCGGAATATTCATATTTTAATATTTTTATGTTATGTTATGTTTAAGTCTATTAATTCGTTTAAATTTATTGAAAAACATTCAATCGAGATGCTACATAAAGAATGAATATATATGTCGAACATTCAGGGAAATACCCTCCTCATTTAAGAATATAAAAATGTATCATTAATCTCATTTTCATAATAATAATTGAGCGTCCATTAAAGGATATTGGTTAATAGATTGTCCAGAAATATATAATATAAAAGCTCATTGAAATTCCCACACGATCCATAGATAGTTTGAAACTGAAATGAAAACATACAATCTCACATAAATGGTTCAAAGCTCTCCTCTATGAATAACATGCCACTAATAAAAAAGAAATGAATTTATATAAAATAAAACAGAAGTGAGGAGTTGTTGATTCAAGTAAATAATATGCTAACAACTCAATTAAAAGGAGACCATCAAAACTTGAGAGCAAATGACAAAATTAAAGTTACATCCAATATACTAATAAACTCGATCAAAGTAATGAGACACAAAATTAGACACTCCTTATCTACAGGTTCCAATAATTTGAATAGTGAATCGACCTTAACTTTAGTAAATCAATCAATGATTCCTCGTTTTAACATAAACATAGGTTGTGGTAGTTGCAACAACCATAACACATAAAGATCCAATAGTTTTCACTCTCCGTTGTACAACCAACTTTTTATCCCCTCCATCTTTAATCTCTCGACGTATATGTTTTAAACCAAAATTCAATTTCTAATCCTCCTTCTGCAACTCCATTTATGCTACTTTGATGGCCTTCTCTCCATGAACCTGAATTTTTCTTTCAATTGAGTTTCTTGTCAGCTTGATCTCCAACTCCTCAATCCTCTTTCTTGTATTTGGCCAACTCATCTTCCTCGGGGCAATTTTAATAAGCTCGTAAAACCAACACTCATCTTCAATTCCATCAATATGCTCTTCTCCTCTTTCTCTGCCTTCACCTGATCTAGTTCACTTCCATGCCCTTCAATACCCTCTCCATTTTCATTAATATCTTGATCATCTACCACTTCTCTCTCTTCAACTGCTCCGATTTGCTTCTATGTCTTTCAATACCTTCCTTGGTTCAATCACTACCCTGACCAACTGCCTCTTCGCTGCTGTTTATGCCTGGAATGTACCGGGCGGTTTGCGAGGCTTCACAGTCTTCGTGCGGTCTTGGGAGGTGAGAAGCGACCTTCGAATTCCTGCAACAAAGGTCCTCAGGGGAGCCCTGGGACCTCCTCCGATGCCTAAGTTAGTGAGAGAAATGGATATAATGAATAAGAGAGAGAATGGAGTAGATAGAAGTTACCCCAAATGTGTCCCATGAGTGGGTATTTATACTAGAGGATGTCGGAGTGAGGATAATTAATGCCTTGTCGGGCGTCCAAGGTCGCATAAGGACCCGTTCTCAGGAGGCTGTCAGGATCGTACCTTTGTCAGCCTCCGTACTGAGGTGTCAGAGAGACGTTAGGCCCAGTGTCGGGCGGTTTCTCAGAGTTCCGTTGGGGACGTGTCAGGCGATTCTTTCGGGAAGACCGCCTTCGAACCTTTTATTAGTGTGCCCTGGGCCTATTGGGGCCGGGCTCGATTGTTTCGCTGGGCTTTTGTAGGTCATGGGCCTGTCGGCCCAAGAGACTCCATGGTTGGCCCAACATTTGCCCCTTAGTCGTGATGATCGTTAGGTTTTCGCGGCTAACTGTTTTTGTCGCCGTGGAGCGGTCTTGGGTCGCTCGGCCTATGATTATCTGCTTGCCCCTGGCCGCGGAGGCGTGGCGTTCGAACGCCTAAGGGGCGGCTTTACCGACTTGTTTGTATGATGGGCGGTCTATAACCGCACTCGGTTGTCCCACGTGGTGGCATCGATTTTCGCGCTCTGACAAGGTCAGACTTTTGCCCCTTGAGAGTTTGCTTTAAATGGAGAGAGGCGCACTGTTTCCGCCATTGTGTTTCTTCATTTGGGGAAAACTCTCCGTCGTCTTCCTCCTTGGGTCGTCTGCAACTTTCTGCGGAGCTCTGAGCTTCGCCGTCGTCGCCCCTCTTTAAAAGGCCGAGTGTTTGTACTTTCGAGGTGAGTTTCGGAGCTTCTTTCTCCTTTGTTTCTCGCGTCTTTGTTTGCCTTTGACTTGTGTGCTTTTCTTTTGGGTTTATTCCGGCTCGGGACGTCGGCTTTTCCCTCTTCCTCGTCGGCGCTAGATGTCGAGCGGAGGCCTAGCTTCGTCGGCCGGGGTAGGCGCGCCTCTAGCTGCCGCCACGGAGGTTGTGTCCGATGCGCCCACTGCCCCCGAGGTCTGCATGGGGAAGCCGCCGTCGATCTTCATTGCTCCGCCGCTTTCCCCTGCCACCGGGAAGAAGTCAGTGGGCACCTCTGGCGGTTCCGCGACCGCTGCGCAAGGTATGGCTCGTTCTGCCCCTGCCCGACACGCCTCTGATTGCGTGTGGGATTTGTCTGGACTTGAATTGTACTTTGGGGGTGGTTCTGAATTGGACGATTGTCTGATCGAGGACGCTTTAAGTTTAGATTTTTCTTTTGCTAACATCCGACCTGTACCAGTTGGGGTTGTGGCCACTTCGTCCGCGGTTGGGGACAATCTGGGTGAGTTTGGGGGTTTAGACTTAGATAGTGATACGCTGAATGTGGATGATGCGGTTGGTAGTAGTGAAGAGTGTTCGGAGGCGCTGGCGAGTACCTCGTCGTCTGTGGAAGCAGTTGACTCTGAGGACGAGGGATCGCCTTTGGTGGCCATTGCGGATTCTACGTATGCCGTTCTTCATCACGAGGGAATGTGGGACGGGGCCGCGGTTCCCACCGGCGTGTTTTCTCATGGACCTCCGCACGAGGCGACCTTGAGGCCGGGTCAGGTGCTTCACCGTTTGAACGCATTGAGTTTACCTACGGATTGGCAGTATGCGGCTCCTACGGAGACAAGTAGATCTGGGTCATGCCCCGAGGGTTGGATCCCTATTCACGTGGAGCACGTTAACTTGGGATTGCGGTTCCCCTTAGACCCTATTCTTACTAAGACTTTGCACCTCCTTCAGTGTACTCTTGGGCGCTTGTCCCCTTCTGTTATTTTTCAGTCGGTCATGTATCGGTATGCGTGTAAACGCCTTGGGGAGACCCCTTCCTTTGATGCATTTCGACTGATTTATAACATTAGGGATTCGACCAACTGTTGGTCTATCGGTCGGCGTAAGGACGCCGTGGGGTTTGTGACGGGGTCGCCGAAGCTTGATTCTCCATGGTACAAGGAGTTTTTCTTCGCACGTCCCTCATGGAAGTGGTATCATGGCGATACTGCGCCTTTGACGGGGTACGTGGTGGGATCGAAGGACGACTGGTGTGTTTCGACCCAGTTTTCACAGTCAGTGAGAGATCACGTAGACCGCCTTGTAGAAGGGTTTCAGCTGCGAGTCTTTCCTAGCGGTCCCGAGAGTGCATACCAGCACGTTCGCAAATTCTATGGTTAGTGCTGCGTTTTTCTGCTTGAATATGTCCCTCTTCTCATGTATGTTTACTTATGCTTTCCTTTGGCAGGTTTGAGAGCTCTGGCGGATGCGGTTCGTCCGAAGAGGCGAAGGGTAGTGGTGAAGACCGGAGTCGGCCGAGGTGGAAGCTCGTCCGTGGCGGTCGGAGATATTGGCGTCTCTGTTGCTCAACCGCCGCCGGTGCAGCCTATGGCGGCTCCAGCTGATGTGTCCGGGAGGAGAGGCTCCAAGAGGGTGGCTGAGAAGACCGCTCTCGGTCAAGCTAGCCAAAGAGCGAAGGCAAGTTCTCCGCCTCGGAAGGCGGCTGGTCGGGGAAAGGGCGTGAAGCGCGGGGAGGAACAGAGTTCTATAGAGGTGTCGACTCAGGCGGCCACGGATGGGGAGGCGGCTGAGTTTGCTTTGCACACTATTAGTGATCATCTCGTTATGCCTTCCGAGTACACCCCTTCAGCTTTGGACAGTCACAGGAGACTTGCAGAGACCGCTTCGCGGTTCTTCTTTTCGGTAAGTGGTAATTCGTTGTGGATGTTTCGTCACGCAATCTGTTGTTTGCTGGCTAATCATGTGTATGCCGTTGACAGGCTCAGATTGGGTTCTCGCAGGTCATTCTGTTGAATGACCGCCTGTCCCGGACTGTGGAGGACAATGCCGTTGAGATAGCGAAACTGAAGAAAAGCGCCGATGAAGGGCGGGAGACTATGATGGGTAAGTTGAGACCGCAGGTAAAGCGTGAGTTTGAGGAGCGACTGGCCAAGAAGGAGGAGGAGTTGCTGGCCGAGAAGGGGGCGGTCAAGGCTGTCGGTGAAGAGAGGGACCGCTTCCGCGAGAAGGCCCTAAAGTCTGCGGAGCTGGAGAAGACCCTGCTGGAAGAACAGGAGGCGCTGCGGACAGAGCTGGCCGCCTTGAAGATTGAGAAGGCGACTTGGGAAGAGAACCGCGAGGCGGAGCTGGCCGCCGCCCGGGCTGAGGCGGGACCCGCCTACTTGAAGTCAGATGAGTTCGTGTTGCTTGACAATGAGAAGTACAAGTCCATGGTGGGCAATGCGGTGGCTGCCATCAGGCACTGGTTCCGTCGCGAGCAGCCTGACGCGGTTTGGAACACGGATCAGATTTGGGACGCCGTTGGTGCGTGGACCGATTCCGATGTCAACTCGGAAAAAGACGAAGGAGAAGAAGATGAAGAGACCGCCCCTGAGGGTGGCGCATCTCCTCAAGTTTAAGATGCCTTGTGTATGTTTCTCAGTTTGCTTTGTGACATTTGCTACTCGAGGACCGCTGAATGTCCCCTATTTTGTGCACGTTTTGCCCCTTAATCGTGGTGATGGGGGTTGTATGCTACTTCGAATTTGGCATTGACGTGCCTTGTGAACTTGTAACGTTCTCTTTTGCACACTTGAAGCGTTGGACCGCCACCGTTTGGTGCCGCGGGTTATCTCCGACTTTTGGATGTTTCGCTCGCGTACTTAGCGACTTCAGTGTTTAGTAGCCTATCTTTTCGCGAGCGTGATTGTGCTAGTGTTAATGGGAAGAATTTTGCATAGGGCGGGTCGGACCGCTGGGATTCTTGGACGTCTCTGAGGGTGGTTGGTCGTTGGAGTGACCTTTTTGAGCGTGTTGGAAACGAACGCCTCGTTAGTAACGTTGTGCCGAAAACATGAAACATGTGAATGAAGGCAACGTGTTTGGGCTTAAACGTTCTTGCGAACTTGTTGTATGAGAGGGAAGCGTGCTGGGACTATATCATGGCCAGCTGCATGTGATAAGCTGTTGGGCCGCGAGATGGGCACGAGCTTGTGTGCATGTTAAGCGTGAGTTGTTGGCTGAATATTAGGCGTTAGCTGTGTTCTAGGGAGGGCGAATGGAGTTTCACCCGTAGCGGTTTTATACACCGCATGCTGCGTCCATCGGATGTGCGAGAGTTCGTTTGTGCTTGCCCCTTGGGCGTCTCTCAGGCGTTTTTTCAGCCTTTGGAGGGTTAGCTTGTTTGAAGCTTCATCTGGACCGTTCGTCTGCAGGTATGCCGCGGAAACTGCCGTTCCTGCTATGCGGTTTCTTGGCGCGGAAATTTTCGAACGATCGACAGTTGAATTGGGTGGTGGAGAGTGTCATTTGCTTGAACGGTCGTTTGGCACATTTCGCGTTATTCTTTTAAACCTTTCGAAAGGTGTTTCTCCTTTGAGCCTGTCGTGAGGCGTGAGAGCCTGGCGGAAGGCATTTTTCCTTTAGGCCTGTCAGAATGCGTCTCTCTTCAAGCCTACCCGGAGGCGTGTGGGCTTGTTGGCACTAGAAGGCGGAACCTTCCCGTGGCGGGAGTGTCGCTCGTCGACTTTGACATTTTCGTGAAGAGAGTGCTCAATGGGAGCGCCTTCGCGAGGCGGGATATCCTCATAGTCTTTTGGCTTCTAAGAAGCGTGTGAGTCATCAGCTTCTTGGGCGGACATGAGATACTTCAGACTGTGTCAGAGTAGTACTTTCTCAGGCGCCTGTCATTCCGTGTTTTTTGGAGACTGGGACGCCTTCCATGGTTGCATTACGCTTGTCGCGGTTTTATCTTTCGTGTTTGAGCACGGAGGGAGGGTAAGTTTACTTCGGCTGGGGCGACCGTTTTGGTGTCGTATGTCAGAGCGAAGGGGGTGTCTCCCGTGGCCGTCTTGTAGGTCGTGTGATGCGAACATAGGACGTGTAGGAGCTCAGTCATCCTTTCCCCTTAAGCGCCCCGGAGAAGCTTGTTTGAGGGTACATCACTGATGCTTTGGTGTCCCTGGCGTGGTTTGGCGCGCAAGGATTATTCTGTTATCCTTTCAAGCTTCTCAGGAGGTGCCTCCTCTTTGAGCTTGTTGGGAGGTCTGTGAGCCTGTTGGAAGGCGTCTTCCTTAGGTCCTGTCGGGAGGCGTCTCTCCTCCAGCCTATTAGGAGGTGTGTAAGCCTATCAACAGGTGTTTTGATGATGACGATATGCTTGTGAAAAGCAAGATTGGGCTTTGTCTTAGTGGAAGATGCATCCCCATGAGATGGGCATCTCATGGAGGCGAAATATACTCGATGAGAGTGTCGTTTGTTAGGTGAAATATTCCCCGAAGGGCGCGTCTCTGGGAGGCGATTTTCGGGCTTTGCCCGGAGGTGGAAGGCACGAATCGGGCCTAGAGGGAGGGTCGCTCATAGGCGAAATCATCGCTCAAAGGGAGCATCGCTCGGGGGCGGTTTTTGGGCCTTGCCCCGAAGGCGGAAGAGGCGATTTTCAGGCTTTGCCCGGAGGTGGAAGGCACTAATCGTGCCTAGAGGGAGGGTCGCTCATAGGCGAAATCATCGCTCAAAGGGAGCATCGCTCGGGGGCGGTTTTTGGGCCTTGCCCCGAAGGCGGAAGGCGTGAATCGTTCCCGGAGGGAGCATCGCTCATAGGCGGAATCCATTCTCCGAAAGGAGCATTGCCCGGAGGCGAATTTTCGACCGTGCCCAGGGGCTTGAAGCATAGCACTTGAGACATATTTTTGTACAAAATATTTACCTTTGTGATTTGTCTTAGGAAAAGTAAGAGTCAAATTCCGAGTGCTACAGATCATATGTACAAGACCTCACTGTAGCATACTGGTGAGCACCGTTCATCTTATCGAGTTAGGACTCGCATCCGAATCCTGGTATAGGGATGGAGGGGGTTATGCTGTACCCGCCCAATGGGCCTCTACGTGGGCGTCGTTGGCTAGGCGGACCGTGAGTGTATGCGAGACCACGTTCGCGGAGGAGGTTGCGATTCTGGACATAAATATTGGGTTGCACCTGGTATGAGGTGTGCCTAGTGGGACAGGCTTACTAAAGGCAAGTCTTATTTTCAGCCTACCGGGAGGCGCTTCTTTTTTCAGCCTATCGGGAGGCCTGTCTTCTTTTAGCCTATCGGGAGGCGTTTCTTCCTTTCAGCCTATGAGAATGCACTTCTTCCTGGTCTGTCGAGAGGCATTCTGTCTTTCAGCCTTCTGGGAGGCGTTTATCTCTTGACTTTGCGGGAAGCGCTTTGGGATCTTTGAACAATCAGAGAGCTTAGCCTAGAAGGCATGAAATTTGATTAGTATGCGGTTCCACGTCTGATGTGGTCATGGAAGACGTGGGTGATGACGCAGATGAGTATGATACACGCGACCAGACTTATCTTGTGTCGACGCACCGCCATGTGGGAGACGGGGGCCGGGTGGTGTCTTCGGATGCGTGTGCGCGGGCTTGCGTCTTAAGGCAGGCCGGACGATTTGCACGGTTGGCGGACTCGAGTTGAGGACTTGGAGTGCGGGCCGGACAGAGGCGGGCCCGTGTGATGCGGGACTCGAGTTGAGGACTTGGAATGCAAGAGTAGAGGACGAATGCTTTACACCCTTGGTGGGCCTAATGTACAGAGCGTGATGGGCCGCATTGGAATCTTGGATGCGGTGCGTTGGTGATGCTAGGTCAGACGCACACATGAGATTTGATGCGAGGCGGCCCAAGTCTTCAGTGATAACGTTGAGTGGGCTCGGAGGTGCCCTAGGCCGAGTGGATGTTCGGGTGGCCCAGTTGGAGGGCTAGGGGTGTGTACGTGGTTGTAGTCTTCTAGTCGATGATCATCTTGCGATGATAATATCGCACGGAGGGGAAACGTAGCATGGTGGTGATGATCATCTTGTGCTTGGCGTGTTGAGGGTTTGAGGCTTTGCGGAGGCGGTCCTCCTTTATTTTTGCAATGCGACAATTGAGAGCTTAATGGGTCGTGTATGGCGTGTTGCCAAGCTTCGCTCGTTGTGGGCCATGGTTGGTTGTGGACCGGGATGCGGCCCATTATATGCTTGGACTACCCACTGGGATTGAGGCTGGAGCTCGACGCGAGGTTGCAGCTTGGACTTGGCAGACGGGTCTTGTGATCGGACTGGATGCGGATTGGGCCCGCACGGAGGTCTTGGCTCAGATGGTCTTGAAAGCTGAACGCTTTGTAGGTGACGGATTTGAGAGGTAGGGCGCCGTGAGACATAATGCGGGCTTAGCAGCTTTGGGAAGGCGCGCGGAATGGAATGGGCTTTGGAGGCAGCCTTTTGCACAAGTTCGAGGCGTGAAGATGTCACTCCTGCTGGGAGGCGGTATCGTGTTAGCTATACTGATGGCGCGCCTACTGGGAGGCGGTTTCCGGCTTTTGCGTGGAGGGACAGCATGCGTGAAATATGTCATAGCACGGGACGTAGTGAGAAACATCATTGTGTGCTATTGGGAGCGGTCTGCATGGCATAGTATTTGAATATATCGTAGAAGGAAGTACTTAGCTTGAGAATAAGCGGTAGAAGATAGCTGGGAAGCGGTTTAAGTAGGACGGGTCGCTTTCTGATCCTCAAGGCGGTCTCGTGGCAGACTGGTAATTGCCCCTGCCTATGAGAGTTGGGTTAGGTGTTTGAGTATGGTGCACGGGTTTCTCTTCTTCTTTTCGTAAGTAGATGCCTCCAGTCTTCTAGTGGCGTGATGGGCTTGCTTATTGGACTTTCGGACGAAGGGGTCCGCGTGCGAGACGGATCGCGTTGATGAGGGAGGCGACCCATCGACGAGGGATAGGATCGCCTTGGGGAATCGGATGTGGAGCGAGGCGGTCCCGGTCTTGCATCCGCTCGGAGGTGGAGCGAGGCGGTCCCGGCCTTGGGCTCCTTGCATGTTGGAGACGAGACGGCAGTGAGGCCGTGTTCGGTTCCTGCGCTGGATCTTGGAACAAATAGCTAAAAGGCGGCCGCCCCTATTGACATGAGAAGATGTTGTCGCCGGCCAGTTGGCGTTCTTGTATCCTAATTATTGCGGGTTCGAATCTTGGCCAAGGAATTCCTTATTTTTTATTTCGTTGAGAACGAAGTCTGCTCAACTAAATGAGTAGCGCATCGGACTCCACTGTGGGCTACCTTCGCAAGGCGGGTCGTGGATGGATGTGAGCCTGGTA